AAGGTTTAAGGCTACTGTTCCATCCCTGGGTTCAGATGATTTTGGCTAAACTTGGGTATGCACCAGGACAGTATAATTTGAATTTCTGGATTATGCTACGTGGAGTCTATATAGCCTTCAAACTTGCCATAAATGGAGAACCATCGTTTGATCAATTTGTATGTCTCTATTATGTTACAAGGCAAAAGGTTGACTTGGGTTGAGTTCAATCAAATTGTTTAAAGGCAAAGGATCGAGGTTACTTCGTTGATCGGATGTCGTCCTCTTAGTAGTCATGAAGGAAAAGATGGTGTTTTGCATATGATAATTGGGAGAGGGTTGCAGGGAGAGAATAGGAACAACAAGTCCCCACCAGTTTTCAGTCTCTAGATGGTTAATTAAATCCTTTGGCATGATACCCCTACCTTTATTGCATGCATACTTGTGTTGTTGGTTACCATTTCTTGAAAAATACTGAAGCTGACAAGACTTTGTATTTGATGCAGGTCCATTGAAGTATGCGATTGTGTCGAAAGTGGAAGAGAACGTCGTTGAAGATGTAAGAAAAGTGATGCCCCATGAAGACCGTTTCTGGAAAAACTTGTTGAAGCTACAAAACCTTCGCAACACCCGCATCGAAACCACAGAAACAGAAAATCCGTATCGAAAGCCCAAGCTAAATACAAATAAAACAACCTAAATTTAAAACAAACCACAACAAACTCTTAAAGAGTTCTTGAGAATTATTAATCTTACACAAATTAAGAAGTAAGACCACCACTCCACATCTTCCCGGAAGAAAGCCATTGCGCCATACCTTCATCTTCCTGGAAGAATCCATCACGCCATACTGGATAAACCCATAGTGCCGCACCATATAAACCCAAATTTGACACAACCCGACATCTTCCTTGTGTACATGGACCAAAAGACGAAGACTTTTTCATGGCTATGACAACGTTTCACAACGGTTGCTTCCACATCAAAAAACAAAGAACAAAGAAAAATTATTAGGGGTAGGGGAAAGAAATTAAGAAGAGGGGGAGGAAGGAGAAGAGAGGGGATGAGGAAAAGATAGGGGAGGTGGCTAGGAGGGAGGTCGCCGACCTCCAAAGGGGTGACTAGGAATTTTTCCCTAGGGTTTTCTCAGAGAGTGTTTAGGTACGCAATAATTATGCAATGCATAAGTTTTTATTGTAAATGGTGTGGAGCACACAAGTAAGTGGTGAAAGGAAAGAAGTCAATAGAAGGTGAAGACTTTTGTATAGCCTACGAGGTAGGTGTAAGTCTTTGCCTATAAAAGGGGGTCTCCGTAAAAAGGAAAAATACACCAATCAGAAACTAAGAGAAAGTGAGAAAGAGTTAGAAAGTTTCAGTGAGAAAAGAGAAATTTGAGAGGAAAAACTTTCATTATAATACTGCAAGAAGAAATACAATTCCTCTCATGAAGTGTGAGATGAAAATGACTTTGAATTATGTCCACTGGCTAGACCCTGTTGGCGTTCTTTACGATCAATTTATGCCAAGGTGAAAATGAAAATATAAAATTCAATAAAATGTTGAATTAACTTATTATAGTAAAATTGTTTGTATAAAAAAAAAACTTATAGTAAAATTGAGTTACAATGTAGACATGGGCTTAGCCAAGTTGCTTAGGCGGACATTATGTATAATGTATTTTCTACTATTCCTTCCTGTTTACAATAGTATCCGCACGATAATAATGCTAAGACATCGAATGTGAGAAGATATATATACACATCTTAATAGTAATATTGAGTTCTTGTTTTAGAAAATTAATGAAATACCCATTTCTAGACATAAAACTATAAATATACCCTATACCATTCAATATATATAAACACACCCAAAAAAAACCCAAAACTGACAGCTGTTACATTTTTTAGTTTAATTAGATAAATGAAATACCTTTATTACCCATTTAGTATTAAATTAGTTTTTTTTGAAAAATTCTGGCGCTCTCTCTCTTGGCTCTCTCCGTTCGAGGAAACCAAGCCGGCGATCTTGGTGCTCCGGCCATAGCCAGTCATGAGACCGGTCAGAAAAGGACCGGCCAGGGCCAACGATCAAGTCTGGGCTAAAGCCCAGGCACATCAGCCACTCACGACTCCATTACGAGCTCGGAAAGGTCTGTGGATTTTGAGTTTTTCGACGTCGTTTCCGACAACTTTGGCGATTGTTTCCGTCGATCAAGGTATGAAACTTCATTTACTTTTCATGCTCTAGCTATTTATGTATGTGGTTAGGATAGATTTTGGAGTTTTGGAAATTAATCAATACACCCTAGTTTGACCAACGGCTTTGTCAGTGTTTCTAGTTGCTCCGGCCACTTTTGGCCAAGGTCTAAGACCAAAAATTACTCATCTTGTTAGTCTGAACATGTTGGTATAGGTATTGTAGGGAGTTTTGGGAATTTTTAGCAATAGGTTACCGTTTGACTTTGACGGTATGCTTGGTATGTTCTTTTCAAACTCTATCCGGGGTTGTAGGAATGCTAGTAGCATCTTTTTTCTATAATAATGTTAATATGAGAACTTCAAGCGAGACAATTTGAGAGGAAGCAAATTTAACTGTAGCTGTTGGCCTGTGCAATTGTAGATCCAATTCTTCTTGATTTTATATGTTTATTTTTGTTATTGTCGATTTGGAGGTAAACTGTTGGATTTTTTGATTTCGTTCCAATTTGTATTTAGATATTCGTTTGAGTTTTAAATTGTGATTTTAGTTTCTTTTTGTTTATAATTTGGATTGATTTCATATTCGGTTTGGTTGTGGATTTGCTCTTGTGTTTTGGTTTGAGTTGTGGTTACAAATTTGTGATATTTGATTCGGTTATCATATTAATTGAGGTATGTTTTTTCAATTGAATTTGACTATATTCATGTTTTTTCTGTTTATGCACTATTGGTTTTTGAGTTGACTATAATTTGCTGTTAGGGAGCAGTGTTATTACCTTAGACATGAATTAGAAATAGTATTTCATAGGAAACAAGCAGTGTTATTGCCATATACTGGAACTTTACAGTGGTAGACATGCATTAGAAACCAGATTTTATAGGAAACTAGCAGTGTTATTACCCTATACTGGAACTTTACAAGGAGTAGACATTTATTATAAATAGGATTTCAGAGGAATCTAGCAGTGTTAATACCATATACTAGAACTTTACAATGGTAGACATGCATTAGAAATAGGATTTCATAGGAAACAAACAGAGGAATCTAGCAGTGTTATTACCCTATACTAGAACTTTACAATGGTAGACATGCATTAGAAATAGGATTTCATAGGAAAAAAAACAGTGTTATTACCCTGTACTGGAACTTTATAGTGGTCGACATGCATTCAAAATAGGATTTCATAGGAAACAAGCAGTGTTATTACCATATACTGGAACTTTACAGTGGTAGACATGCATTAGAAATAGGATTTCATAGGAAACAAGCAGTGTTATTACCATATACTGGAACTTTACAGTGGTAGACATGCATTCGAAATAGGATTTCAGAGGAAACAAGTAGTGTTATTACCCTATACTGGAACTTTACAATCATTAATCAATATGACAATAAACTAGCAGTGTTAAGAATAGGTATATGACTAAATACCTCTTTCTTTTTTGAGTTGCTGAAAATCGACTATTTTATAGTCCTATGCAATCATTTCAATAATGAAAATCCAATATAGTTTCAAGATTTTGTCCTAGATTCGAATCTAAAATACTGTTATTACCCTATACTGGAACTTTACAGTGGTAGATATACATTAGAAATAGGATTTCATAGGAAACTAGGAGTGTTATTACCTTAGACTAAAACTGTACAGTAGTCGACATGCATTAGAAATAGGATTCCATAGGAAATAAGCAGTGTTATTACCCTATACTGGAACTTTACAGCCATTAATCAACATGACAGTAAACTAGCAGTGTTAAGAATCTGTATGACTAAATATCTCTTTCTGTTTCGAGTTGCTGAAAACCGACTATTTTATAGTCCTATGCAGTCAATCCAATAGTGAAAATCCAATATAGTTTCAAGATTTTGTCTTGGAGTCGAATCTAAAATACTGTTATTACCCTACACTGGAACTTTACAGTAGTTAATCAACATTACAATAGAGGTTTGGTTTTTAAATGTCTTACTTTTGAGGCCTTTTCTTGTTGAAATTGTTCTTTGAAATTTTATCTTTATTTTGTAGGTGGAGGTTAGTGTGTGGTGTTGGTTTTTGAAAGTAGATCAAGCTTCGTGGTGGTTATGGAGTTTCGGTTTGCATAAATGATGAAATGAACAAACGTTTTGCAGAGATTGTTTAATGAAGATGCATGCTTGTAGTTACGGTTTTCAAGACACTTTTGTGTTGTAATAAAATATTTGGGCTTTTTTATAAAATTGGGTTGGGCTTGTTTTGGGTGTTTTTTGAGTTTTTATTTTTCTGTTGGGCATTAGTGGCAGTCCTGTAATTTATAGGAACTTTAACACTAATTTCTTATATAGTAAATATATTTTTTTTTTAGGTGAGACCCAATGGTATCCACCGCTGACAGCAATGACTAATCCCTTTCGTCGCGGGAGCTCTCCCAATGGAGATAAATGGCTGGCCACGAAATGTGCTCCATTCCCATGGGCGGGGATCGAACCCCCAACCTCATGGTTAATGAATGAGGTGAGGTGTGTTTCTAAAGTGCATTCTATGTGGAATAGTATTGAGTTGCAATGGAGCCATCCTAGCTTTATTCTCTTCCAACCGGAAACGGCTTTTGCTCGCATGAAAGGAAAGTATCATCGGCCACTTTTATTTTAGCCAACCCTTTATTTCGTTGGCAGTCTTGAATTGACCAAACTACCCTCATCTAATCTCCCAATTACTCCTCTCATTCTCCTTGGTAAAAGAAACTACAGGAGCATGATAGTCATTTTAGGTACTAAAATGTCTACAAAATGGACCCACGGTGGGTTCCCTTAAACGACCCGTTTGGCATCGTATAGGGGCAGCCTGGAATTTGCTTGTCTCATTATTTTCACTTCCGTTTTTAACTTTTTTTAACGTTTAACCCTCCAATCGAGGGTTTTGAATTCGATTTCCGATTTCATTCTTCTTCACAATCTCAAAATTGGTTTACGAATCGTAATCAGAACCCTAATTCTCGAGGTTTGGATCTAAAAGGTCCCAATGGCGGATCACGAGGAGGACCTGCGCACGGCACTACGGATGAGTATGCAGAATTCGCCTCCGGAGCCCAAGCGCAGCAAGCCCAGGGACGGCCCCGCAGGAGCTCCCACCGGGTCGCCTGAGGAGTCGTCGGAAGTGAAGACCCGGAGACTTCAGCGCGAGCTCATGGCTACTGCAGCCGAGAAGAGAATGCTGGATGCCAAAAAGGCCTCGCCTTCACCTAGCTCGGTCTCGGGGTCTGCGGGCTCCTCGGGTTCGGGTTTGGCGGCAAAGGTCGTGAGGAAAGATAAGGAATTGAGCTTGGAGGAAGTGAATTTGGGAAAAGGTTTGAGCGAAGAGGATGCAAAGCAGTTGTTTTCGATGGTGTTTGGTGCTGAGGTTACAAAGGGCATTCTTGCACAGTGGAGTAATCAGGGTATAAGGTGTGTGTAACACTCAATTTGTACTAATGGCCTATATGTTGCCTTCATATCTGGTCATGCTCCTATTTTGCTATATATGGTGTTGTCACTGGTTTAGGATATAATGTATTGATCCAAAGACAATTCAATTTAAGTTTACTTTGAATCGACTCGCAAGTTCTGTTCATCGTAGTTTTATGCTTCTCTCCTCAAAATTTCTGTTTCTTTATGCATCATCCTGTTATAGCGCCATAATTTTTCTGGTTATTGGAACTGCAGCTGTAAGACATCAGTTATGGGAATATTGAAATCATTTCTTGAAACTGCTGCTTCATTAAAAATATTGCCTCCTTCTTTAACAAGTTTCTTGAACTCACTTCTCACTTTGATTTCATCACATCTTTTATATGGTTTCTATTCTTTACTGTTTTTGTAATATTTGAAATATGAATTGTGGTTGTTTCATGTACTTGCCCTTGGTTAGCTAATATAATTTCTTTTCTCTATAGGTTTAGCCCTGATCCAGAAACATCTATGGGTCTAGTGCAGCATGAAGGTGGGCCCTGTGGCGTTTTAGCAGCAATTCAAGTAACTTCCTGATTTCTCAACATATGTGTTTCGAGTGTCCCATAATATTTGCCATGGTTAGATTTTGAAGTTTAATGATGCTGATTTGAGAATAAATTCTGGTTACAAAAGTTGGACTCTGTGGAGTCTGGACTCATGTATTTTATAAAATTATTTTCATTCTTTGCACACAGTTACCAGTGCATTAGGATCTGATTTTAGTTAATGTTCCCTTTTCTCATATATTGGTTCATTTTATTCTGATAATTTTGGAAGTCAGTTTTTTTCTATTAAAAGAAGCTTTTTTAAGCTTATAGTTTAAAAGTAGGTTGTTTTTTTTGGCCTCTTGGTTACTAGTGATGGGGGAGAGAAAGTAGGAGTTGTGGGATAAGGGAGAGGGAAGATGAGAGTAAGATTGGGGAAATGATGGGAGTTTTATAAAGGTGAGTAGTGGGATAAAAAATAAAAATTGTTGTTTGTTAATTAACCCGATTTGTTTTATAGAACACTTAATAATTTATTTTCTTCATTTTATGGAATAATTGAAGGCCATACTCTGACATGACTAACTCACACAATAAATTGGTTTTTTTTTTCGTCTATTGGTACAGAATTATATGTTGACTGTGAGGGGCTGAGTCAAAAATATTGGTTTTAAACATGTAGTACGTTGGTAAACACATGGAGTGATAATATGATCTGGTTCAACTATTGAATAAGAAATGTTCATTGGTTGTAACTCATTTAGTTATTTAAATTGGTTGGGGTTTATAGATTATAAAGCCTGGCGAAACAAGTCATAGCATTCGATATGATTTCCCTTTTCTTTATATTAACAAATAATTATCTGTTAGTCTGCGTCCTAGAGCAAATTGTAGATTGACACATCTGATGCATCATTTATATGAAAAGAGAAACAATACATCCAATGTATAAGGATGTCCATTTCACTTTTGACCATTTAGCATCACTTTAATTGATAACGTTCATATGTAATGTAAAAATAAATTTTTACGGTATTGGTGAATTGTGGCCGATTAATAGGTCTCCAATTGTGTGTGCAAGGCCTAATAGAAAGGTGATACCACCAATAGCACGACCCTATTTTAGGGCGGTGTTGCCCAAATGCCGAATCAAGCTTAAAGTGCTTTGTCTTATCTTGGATATCTGATAAGTTTGTAAGTGGCATGTCAATTGACTTAGAATGTAAAAATAGAATTTCTTTGTAATCAACGTAATTACTGTTTTCTAAATTATAAATAGTTCAAAATTTATATCATAATTACAAAAAGAAATTTACAAAAAGTGAAGCATTCTATATCTGAACTCAGATGGGTTTCATTGGCTTAGCTCCCTGTGAAAATCAGATGGTCCTAGCATTACAGCTTACCAGACATACCTGTAGACCACATAGGTGTAGCCTTAATGATGAAAAGAACACTAAAGAGTTTCTAATACAAAAATACATTTTTAAACCCCAAATTGATGTGGATGGGCTAGTGTAGTCTGAGAAGTGGTCCAAAGATCTCTACCAAAATTGGGTAATGATGCCCTTTATTGTTTCTCAGAAAGTTTCTAAAACAATAAGGTGGTATTTCACTTGTTGAATTTTGAAAATTTTCTCACTATATTGTAAGTAAGATTTTTGTCTCTGCAATTTTAATGATGTGGATGAAATTATGATGCGAGGAAAGAAAAAGATTGTATTGTGCCTTTTATCTTCCTTTCTTTCTAGTATCTATGTTTCACATAAGACTCAGTTTTTTTATTCGTGATGTCTTTGATGTAGTACTAGTTATCGTGGGATTGCTATCATCATATGTTAGTTTTTGTTACTGTAATGAGATACATTTGTTTGCTTTCACCCCTAGGGTTATTTGATCTTTTCGTCACTCTGTTTTATTATTGTTGTTGTTGTTGTTGTTGATGTTACTGTTTTATATTTCTTGGTGTTGTGTTAAAAACTGCTATTGACTTGTACATGCATGTCATGATTCTATATTTACATTGGTTACAGTATTTTCTGTTTGGTTGTGCAGGCATTTGTTCTCAAATACCTCCTTTTCTGCCCAGCTGAATTAGGTAAAGTTGTACCAAACATGGATCACAATACGGGTTCAAGGACACTGTCTAATAGTCCGTGTGTTGCATCGAATAATTTTGCCTCTCTTACTGAAGATGCAAAAGCAAGGTGATTAATCGTTGCATGGTAAATTATACATCTGTGGTTTTAGTTGATGATGCTTATGCATTATGTTATTCATATTGGACTTTTACTGTTTCATAGTCCAATCTAGGGAGAATCATAGAAATCTGTTTAAAGCATATGATCCTGTACATCCTTTCTGGTTTACTCATTTCTGTAGCCAATTGTTTAGTTGCGTGTTTACACACTGCAAACTGGTGTCGTCCTTTGTAAGGTTACACTAATTTTACCGTCCTAATGCTGTTTAACTTCTGGTTCTTTCCATAACTTTGAGTATGGAATTTTTTTTCTAGGATGTGCAGAATGCTTTTTCAGTTGTTTTTGTCCCACTATCATCATTTTAACCTGCACGATTATAAAGTCTAACTTTTCATAACTATTTTACTTTTATATGTCAAAGTTTTGTAGTATTTACTTTCTCCTTGTATGTTGTCTCCAGAAATCATCTATAACTTTTTGAACTTTGTTTTACGCTTAGACACAATATACTCTTTCATGTGCAAGGCTTCCTGCTTATATGATTATTATTTTCTCTTAAATCTGGCACAAAGTCTTTGTAGAGCCTTCATTTATATCAATTCTTCCATGTCTGAGATGACCCTGCTTCAGCTAAAATTGACGTTTAGTGCTTTATCATATGCCTATAGTCATGGTTTTCGTTCAGTTTCCACTTTCACAGTCACAAAAACCTTACATATAGAACAAGTGGTGTCTTTATTCTGGGATAGATTTTTTACTTCTGTTTGGGCTTCACCATCTAGTATATAGGCATTTTAAGGATGCTCCCTTCAGTTTAATTGTTCTGTGTTTGGCTGATTTTGTGGGTTAATGGTTCTGATAGTTTTTGACCTAGTTTAGTTCTGTGAGGCTTTTGGTGTTCCTGATGGACCACTTCTCCATCCTGTTTGGTACTCCTTTTTTTTTTTTTTTTTTCCTCGTTTTAACAATATACTCATTCTAATTAATTTTGTTGGTCCCAAATCAGTCTAAGATGGTATCTTATAAAGAGGAAAAAGAAACCAGTGTGTAAACGTGGTAATGATATCTTCTGTGCTATTTACATATCTGACTCTGATTATAGTCTGGAATGGACGATGATTTATATTGGTAATTTGATTATTGTTTTTGACGATTGATTAAAGTTTTTTTTACTCATTGGGATGATTGTTGAAATCAACACCTGATCTTTTTGACAGAGCACTGATTAGAAGTATGGGTGAAATATTGTTCTTATGCGGAAGTAATAAAAGGGCTGTGATTGCAACTTTGAGTGTTATTGGAGATGACATTGAGAGGTCTAAAGACAGTCTGGATGATGAAGTAAGTGCACTGAAGCTAGTGGATAATGCTCTGTTTTCTGATAGGAATAATGTATGTTGCACTTGCACAGCATTTATTTGGATTTCTGGGTTGAATTGAAATTTTAACCTTTATGTTTCCTGCTGATGAATATAATTCTCATTCCACAGGTAATAACAAAATCACTTGAGGGTCTTTCAATTGAATCAGCTGCTGATTTGCATAAGGTGCTAAGAGTTAACACATACACAACACGAGAAAGTGCATTTAAAAGGCTCCAAGCAGTGATTCCTGTTTTCCAAAGTCGTATGGGGGCATTGCTGTTCCTTATTTCTGCTTTACTTTCTCGAGGACTGGTATGCTTGTTAGCTTAAAATCTCTCTTGAAAACTGTACACTTCAGAAACAGTCACATTATTTCTTTGTTAATCTCTTTTGCAGGACTTAGTTCAAGCTGACAGGGATGATCCGAGCCTACCTCTTGTCACTGCTCCATTTGGGCATGCTTCACAGGTACAATTCTATATTAATGAATTTCCACTTTGGACCCAGTGCTTCAGTAGTTGATCCATTTGCAGCTCTTTTTTTGAATTTTGTGTTATGATTTCATTGTTTTACCTTTGTATTTTACGGGACAGGAAATTGTGAACTTGCTGCTCTGTGGGCAAGCAGTCCCCAATGTTTTCGATGGAAAGATGGATTTAGGTGGTGGCATGTCTTTAAAGGGTGTATCCAGAACTGTGGAAGTTGGATTCCTCACTCTGTTAGAATCCCTAAATTTCTGTAAGGTTGGCCAGTATCTGAAATGCCCAAAATGGCCAATATGGGTAGTTGGAAGTGAGTCTCATTATACAGTCCTTTTTTCCCTTGATACCACTGTTCAAGATGAGAATGAACTGGAAGGAAGGGAATCACAGATTCGAAAAGCTTTTGATGCACAAGATCAGAGTGGAGGTGGTGGTTTTATTAGTGTGGAAGGCTTTCATCAAGTCCTTAAAGAAACTAATGTTGAACTTCCAACTGAGAAGGTTGACCTCCTTTGCAGCACAGGATTTATTGTATGGAGCGAGTTCTGGCAGGTCATTTTGGATTTGGACAAGAGCATAGGAGGGCTGAAGGATTCAACTGGGTTGATGGGTAAGAAGGTGTTTGATCTCTACCATTTTAATGGAATTGCAAAATCAGATCTGAATGGAAGCCAGGTAAGCTCTGGAGGCGAGACTCCAGTTCAAAGACCTAGGCTCACAAAATTGAGGGTGTCGGTTCCTCCAAGATGGACTCCCGAAGAATATATGACAGATGTGGCGGTGTCCTCTGGTTCTGGTGGTAATGAATCTGGAGGGAAAGTCACAGAAATTGCTAAGCCAGAGCCTTCTCAGCATGCACCTCTGGTGGACTGCATAAGAACACGCTGGCCCCGTGCTGTCTGCAATTGGATAGGGTACCCGCCTAGTATAGTCTGAAATGTTTGCCAATCTTATTTGGGTACGGTTTGTTGTACTTTTATTGTTGGAAGCACGCAGAGCTCATTATTTAAGAAAGCTAGAGTGATGAGCTTGTGTGGTTTGGAGTGCCACCATTAAGATATAGAGAAGGTTTGTCTAATGTTTGGACAATGCCGATGGCGTTCTCTATGTGCATGCCGCAGCTTCAACAATCAATTCGATTTTGATTTGTCAACATGTTTTCGGAGGGGGAAAAACTGTTGTGAAGTTTATTGTCAATCCGAATTGTAAAATTAATTCATAATTATCCTTGTTGGGTAGAGTTATCAGTTCTTGGGAAGGTCTTCAATAAACAAACATCAAGTTTGTCTCGTCGAAATTGTTGTAATGATTCTTCCTGAATTACTGTTGTTACAGTAGGAAGTTTTCCATGTCTTGATATGTTACATATGTATTCCTTCTCTTGAACCTTATTCCAATATTAAAAGCTATATGCTTTTTTTGATGAGGTATTAGGTATTACAATTTTTTCCAGTGGATTTTCAATTATAAGAATTTTGAACTTACACAATTAGTTATTTTTTTGGTTACATAAGGGGGTTTCGAACCCGGGAGCCAGGTTTTTGGGGTGGGGGGTGCAAAGATGCTGCCAAACCACCGCAGCTAAACCCCATTGGCACACCAATTAGTTGTTACTTGAAACTAAAGGAGAACATTTTAACCAAGACTGATCAGAATCTACCGACATTTTCAAACAATGCCCATATTTCATGGGGAGAGGATGGAAACAATCTACTTGGCACCCATATATAACTACTTCTTGAATCAATCTGCGATTTCTTGTGCTACATACAAGCCTTAATTTTGTGTTGACCAAAAAAGCCTTGAGGAATTTCGTGATTTTTCAATTTGCTAACAGATATCTCATTTTCCAAGTTTTGATACATTGTTAGGATGAAAGTGTAAGAAAATGACACTTGTTGGGAGAGAGAAACCCTTTAACATGCAATGTGCTACAATTGTTTGGACATCTATCAAAGAACCCCCTCATCTTGTGCATAGCCCGTTCTCTCTACTTTTTTTATAGCTCAACTTCCTTCTTTCTTTGGCATGGCTTCAAGGTGTTACTAAATCCCAATTATTTTATTTGACCAAAAAGAAAATCCCAATTATTTTATACTTAATTTATGTAATATCAAATTGATGTAGAGTTTTCTTTGAAAAAAGAAAAGAAGTTACGCGATAAATTGACAATGTCAATATAGTTTAGAGAAAAGTGGCATATGACTTTAAATTTAAATATTATTTTTGTAATCATTTCCCATTTGTTATGAAACATTCTTTTTTGCCTCACAGCGAAGCTCCCACATTTTTATTTGGTGGAGATCGAGCTATTGTTTGTTTTCCTAAACTCTCACTCATATTTCAAAGCAATACCCCTCTTGAACTACACAAAATTGGTAAATCTACTCTCATTATTAAATTTTTAGCAGTTTCATCTAAGATGTTGTCAAATAAAATCTCATGTTCAACACGTGATTCACTTTTGAATGTCTCTTAATCATGCCATAATCGTTACAAAAAATTGAATTAAATGTCATTTTGAAAAGTAACGTGCTTTACACTTACTCACTTTTGATGACATGCAGAGCCAGTTTTTGTAAGAAAAATATGACGTGAGAAATCAAAATAGCAAGGTTATTTTGAGTAATTCAATCAAATTTCAGGGTCAAAAAACCAAATACCATAAAAGAAAAGCACCTATATGCAACAAGGCACTTGTTAAGTTGTTATAGAACTTCAAAAAGTTTGCTTGAAATCCACACAACCGAACCTCGTCCACTTCATCCCCCACCTCCAGAGACAAGACAAAAACCTGGTAACCGCCGAATCAGGAAGAAAACGACGAGAGGCGTTATCTTTAGTGACGACCACAGAGCTCACTGCCCCATCCCAGGCCCTCCACGTGTCCTCCGAAACTTCCATTAGTACCAGATTAGCCCTCTCCCTTCCCAATCCAGTAACACCTCGAATCGAGTACCACCTCCACCATCTAATCCAAATCTAAACGACCATTTATTTATTTTTCTGTAAATGTTTTTTGGGGGATAAATATATATATTTATTTGGCCATTAGTGGGTTTTTTGTTTTTGAAGTTTTTAGTGACAGTGGTGGTGGGTTGGGGAGAGAGAGAGAGAAATAGGCGAAAATGGATCACGCAGCCGATGCTCACCGTACGGATTTGATGACCATAACGAGGTTCGTGCTGAATGAGCAGTCCAAGCACCCTGAGTCTCGCGGAGACTTCACCATCTTGCTCAATCATATTGTTCTTGGCTGCAAGTTTGTCTGCTCTGCTGTCAACAAGGTCTCTCTCTCTCTCTCTCTCTCTCTCTCTCTCTTTGTATCATTTTCTTGTTACACATATACGTATTGGTTGTTTTTTCTGTAAAATTATATCGAATGCCAACCTGGGTTTTGTTTTTTATTTGATTTTGTCATGGAAATGAAGGTTTTTTTTTTTAATGTTAATTTGGCAATTATAGGTTTTGAATGCAAGGCTTTCTCTGTTTTTAGTGCTGTGATGTGAAATGGGTTTTTACATGAAATTTTTTACTTGTGCAGGCGGGTCTGGCCAAACTTATTGGGCTTGCTGGAGAGACCAACGTTCAGGCAAGTGTTTGATGCTTAATTGGTGTAAAGTGATATCTGTTTACATTAAATATTTTCTGTTGGGTTATTCTTTATGTGAGTTTGATTTGCTGTTTTGGTTAAAGGGTGAAGAGCAAAAGAAACTGGATGTGCTTTCAAATGAAGTTTTTGTTAAGGCTCTGGTTAGCAGTGGCAGAACTGTAAGCCATCACATTTCCTTTTACAGTTAAACTGAATTTTGAAAGACTTCATTTCTGCTAACGATTTGGGTTTTATGGCAGTCTATCCTTGTTTCGGAGGAAGATGAAGAGGCCATATTTGTGGAGCCATCCAAGCGTGGAAAGTAATTGCCTATGCTTTATGCTGGTTATTTGAGCTTGTTGCAATGGAAATTTTATTTTTTTCAATTTCTTTTTTATGAGACTTTTAACTATAGGTTCTATGTGTAAATAATTCTCTAAACTTATACTGGGGGCAGGTACTGTGTTGTATTTGATCCACTGGATGGTTCGTCTAACATTGATTGTGGTGTTTCCATTGGAACGGTATGATCCTTCAGTCTGAAGTATGATATCTTTTATGTTGTTAGCATTGAAAGTCTGTGCTGACATATGTTCGCAAAGCAATTATTTGTTCCAGAATAACTCAATATTGTGGTGGGAACCATTTGTCTTCTCTTTCATCTAGATTTTTGGGATTTATGTGGTAAAAGATGGCATTGAACCTGCTCTGCACGATGTCTTGCAACCTGGAAAGAATATGGTTGCAGCAGGCTACTGCATGTATGGAAGCTCTTGCACGGTATATGAAACATCACCTTTCTTCTAGTTCAGATGCATACATTTTGTTTAGTAAACCCAGCCCCTTTCCTGGTTTCCCAATTACTGGCTATTCCTTTTCATTAAAGTAAAGTTTCTTAGTTCGTTACTTTATCGGATTCCTCTGAGTAGTGTGCCTGACTAAATGGCAATCTTTATTTGAATCTTTCTTTTGATGGTAGGATCTAGGATTTTCTTTGCCTGCAGTCTAGATTTGCAAGACAGTGCTTTAATTATTTGAGAATGTAATGATTTTACAGTTTGTGTTGAGCACTGGAACTGGAGTTCATGGGTTCACTCTGGATCCATCTCTTGGGGAGTTCATACTAACTCACCCAGACATCCAGGTATATCTCTTTTTATACTCCTCAACCAGTATAATCCTTACTCTATTCTGTTGAGAATGTACCAAGGGACATATGTTATCTTTGAGATTGGCATTCTTTTCCCTTTGTTTTGGAGCCTCTAACATTCAGTTTATGTCTACTTCTTTGCCCAGATTCCAAAGAAAGGAAAAATCTATTCAGTGAATGAAGGGAATGCCAAAAATTGGGATGGTCCGACGGCCAAGTATGCTAAGCTCAATTAATAATTTCTTATTTCTAAAACCATCATTGGAGATGTCTGACCCATTTGATTTCCAGGTATGTGGAAAAGTGCAAATACCCGACAGATGGTTCATCACCAAAGTCTCTAAGATACATTGGAAGGTATCCTATATTCTCAACTTAGCAGTCAATGAATTTCAGGTGTTTAAATTGTTTGATTTGGTCTTTCAATCCCAATCTGAAATTGGTGGTGAACTAAAAGTTTATTTATAGATCAATGATTTTTGGCTTTCTTTCTTCATCATTTTAGTTTCTCTTTTCGTGTTTGTGTTCAACATCTGATGACGTTCTGTTTCTTTCAATAAGAAGTTATAAGCTATGATTTTATCATGTTTAACAGCATGGTTGCTGATGTTCATCGGACACTGCTTTATGGAGGTATCTTTTTGTATCCTGCTGACAAGAAGAGCCCAAATGGGAAACTGCGGTACGTTAAGCGCGATTATAGCTATAATTATCCGTTTAACAGTCTATTTTCAGACTGAAGTTTAAGGAATTTAGTGACTCAATTTGGTTTAACCTATCTCAACTAGTGTTCTCTACGAAGTCTTCCCCATGTCTTTCTTGATGGAACAAGCAGGCGGTCAGTCATTCACTGGCAAGGAACGGGTAACATTTCTTATTCGTTATTTTGGTAATTGAAATTGGTGAAATAACTAGCTAGTTTTCTGTATGCAAAGCTTATCATGCACGATATGCCAGAGCTATTCTCTACCCTGCCATGAAGCTTTGTAGGAACAGAGCATACTCTATACAATACACACAGGCATTCTCGTAACTGCAAAATTTGAAGAAATTTCTTTTACTAGGGAAATAGTCAAACGAAATTGGAAGGTACTAAAAAGGGTTATGTTCTCTTGTCCGGCAATCTGGGATGCTATGTTTTTCACTATTTGAACAATTGGTTAATTGTTGAAATTGATAATCTAGCAACTTAACATGCAAACGGGTACGACAAGAGAACATTCAACGTTGCTTGAAATTCGACAATTTTTATTTGATAAGATTAAGTTCTTGCTAGTTGAACTTTTGAGTCTCAATTGGGGGTATATTAACTTGTATCTTGGCAGGCCCTTGACCTAGTTCCAAACAAGATCCATGAGCGCTCTCCAATCTTCCTTGGCAGCTATGATGATGTTGAGGAAATCAAGACACTCTATGCCGCAGAAGGGAAGAAGTAATGAACTTATAATTCTGATTCTGTTACAGTAATTACATAATTGTTCGGCTATCTGAACTTCCATCTATTAAATCAATCTGTAAAGAGAGCGTACAATAATTTGTTGACGTGTACAACTCTAACAAGGTTATATTCGTATGTTTTGAATTATAACCTCATAACGTTTTTTGGCTCAAGTTTTCTTAAAATATGATATATTACAACATAAATCATAAAATAGCATCATTAGATTTAATTTTATTTATAGATTAAATGAAGAAAAATAGAACTTGATAAGAGAAGGTTCTAACTCTAATCCTCTCAAATCTCTGTTGCTGTAATTAGAATTCTGCCTCATTCAATTTTATATTCTAGTTTCTTTCCTTATTTTCTCAAATTAAAAAAATGAACTCGAAAAAACGAAACTCAACAAATTTTTTTTTTTTTAAAAGAAGGTTAAAGGATAATGAAAAACAAAAAAATAAAAAGCTTAATGGTAAGAGAAGAAAAAAAAAACGCAGCAGTATTGCAAACTATTGGAGACTACATTATTTCATGGGAAAATTTTAGACCCTAACTAGTCAATTCCCTAGGAGGCCATAACGTCAAGATTTCTATCCTTACTTGTGAACATTGTTGCCTGTAGTTAGTCACAGAACTGGATGCAGAATTTTTTTAGAGAATAAGGGTGGGCCCCCATAACTAATTCCTAATGACTATCCTGGGACGGTGTAAGTAAAGATAACAAGAAGAAATCAATAACAGTAAGAAACCATCAAACTGAGATTCATCAAACTCCACATTCTTTTATGGCTACCTCAAAGTACAGCTGAAAATCTGATCCTAGATAGCTGGGATTCAAGAAATCTCCATGCATTCAAAAATCTAAAAGTAGAATAACATTGAGAGAGATTAGTTAAACGTCACAACAACTGATTTCCCAACAAAAGTATCTACATCAAGCAGTCCTCAGAGGAGGTGAAACAAGGATGACACCGTCTCCTCTAACAAAGAGAAAAGGAACATTCCGCTTTGTAGTCTGCAATAGAAGAATGAAAAAGAAGTCATCACCTAAAAATCTAATACAAGAGCAAGCGAGTAACAACAGCCAAAACATACATGACCAAACAAGTAGTGGTAATGCAGAAACATTCAGATCTAGGTGAGCATTCCCACAGGTAATAAAGAGTATTGCCTCTGGAACAATCTGATGGTACAGTCATTAAAGCAGTTCTATGCCATGGTTTAAATTTATGCATCATTTTTGCTCCAAGAAAACAATATTACACGTTACAAATGATGGGAGTATAATTTACCATATTTAAAAATAAAAAAAAGTGACCAAAGACAAAAGAATTGAGTAACATACCCGGACAATCTCTTCATAAGTTTCATCATCAATTTCTATAGAAGTAACAACTTCTTCAACATCACCAAGAATCATATTTAAGTGTTGATCATAAGCCTGCAAAGCCAGATTTCAAAAAACAAAATAAGAATCAGACACTAAGCTTTAAAAGCAAAAATATTATGCTCGTAAGTACCAATTAACAAAATCATCTGACATAATTGTACATATACAAGAAACTTTCTCATCACCCTCCATCCCTAATGTCATTGCATCAATTCAGAAAATTGGTCCTCACATAACAATCTTCGGAACCAAACATCTTAGGTCTTTATTCGTTTCTTTACTACATATAAATTTTCTGATAAAAGAATGCCATTCATTTACACATGTTTTCTTACAAGAGAGGCAGGTAGAAGATTAGTGATTCCGATTGGAAAAACTTTCGAGGAACATGGAAACAAAGGTGTAATGGAAAAGAGAGATGGTTTGGAAAGCATCAGTGATTGGCTTAGCATAACTCTTCCGACAATTTCAGTGCTGGCTAAGAAGTTTTGTTTGGTAAAAAAGACAAGTAAATCATACTGGGATGAGTTGACTAGACAACACATTTGGAAGCTTAGCGCTGAATCTAGGTAGAGCATATAGCGCTGGACCTAATCCTAGGTTCAATAAAGATGCGTTCACAAGTAGAAGTGCGAGACTTAACATTGATTTCACATGCATAATTTAAAATTTGAAATCAGTAATAAGAAAAGAGAGGATTTACCTCTGGAAAAATCATAAAGATGGCTAAAGATTTCTTATACAACCACACAATTGCAGAGAATACAGTAGAGTATAATTTCATGCTATGATAAAGCAAATAGCAAACTAAACCATCGTTCAACATTTTTTTAAAAGAGAATACTCAACAATTAAACTATATGGTAACCACCAACTAAATCATTGCCCTAATCAACATAGTGTCAAAGTAACCATTGTAAGTTTCTTTCCATATTCAAAATGCAGTACATAAAAACTAGCTCAAACCTTCAAAGGAAAATAAAAAAATTAAAAATTAAAAAAAAACACCTTAACGCATACCATAAGGAAACAACCCTAATTTAATTTCCATTGAAGACATAACACTAAAGTAGCATACTTTAAACCCTAACTTTCTTTTCTCTTAATTTTTTTGTTCCTCCCGAATCTCAAACCCTAATTCGAACACCCCTGAAAGTAGGTAAAACCTAATCTAGAACAGAGTGAGAGACATGGTAGGGTGTGGATACGTACATGGAGTTTACCGCGGAGCTCACGGTCGGAGCGGAGCTTGACGTAGATGCGCTCGTCGAGGCTGAGCCTTATCAGATCCAACGGCTCCTTCACGGCGCTCTCTTCCTCACTCGCCATCTTTTCAGTTTGCTCTTACTCCGAATGGGTTTGGGTAAAATATGCGGGTAGCTCAGCAGCGGCGAGACTATAATGCGGAGATTGTGTGCGGAGGTTATTTGCGGGGCTACTTACTGGGCCGTTAGATTGATCAAATGGCTAACGTTAGTATCCTCTTTATGCTACAACCGGGTTGGCATTACCCGTTAATGTATTCTCCTTTTTTTTTTTAAAATTATTGTTTCTCTACCTTCTTGTCTCTCTATCTCTCTCCCTTTGTTTTTTTTAAATTAGTTTTTCTCTTTTCTCTCGGTTGCCTCCCTCTTTCTTTTATTATTCTTCTCTCCGTTGCCTCCCTCCTCCTGCTTCTTCTCCTTCTTAACAAACGGGGCTAAGCACAGACAACAACTAAACACAAATCAATCTAGGCTAGTTATTTTATTTCCTCCGCCAGTTATTGTCTTCCTTTTCCCTCTCCTTCTTCCTATTTCTTTTGTTTTTTCCATTCGTTTCTCCACACAAAAATTCTGCATTTCTCTCCTTTTCTCTATGACGCTGCTGATTTAGATCTACTAGGAATTGAGTTTTTGTGTTTATGATTCCCACAGTTTCTGATTCCAGCTTAATAAGTAAAAATAAATGATTTTTTGTTTTGAGGGGAGAACAGCTCCAGTATTTGGCCTTTACCCAAATTTACACACACACACTTGCACAGAGTTTGATGAAGACTGACGGAGAGAATAACAGATGGAGAATAAGAGAGAGAGAGAGAGGGAGTGAGAGAATTAAAAAAGGCTTATTATCACAAAAGGTTCCTAAGGTTTACGAAACTATCAGATTGCATCCTTAATGTTTTTTTGTGTCATTGGTGGTCCTCAAGGTTAGTATGTGTGATCACAAATGGTTCCTGCCGTTAGGTTCCGTTAAAAACTCCGTTAGTTTGCTGATGTGGCGTATATATATATCACAAAACATCCCTGAGGTTTACACACCTATCACACAACTTCAAAAATCATACCAAGCACAAATGTAACTTCAAAGCTCACCAAAGTTGTCCTCTCACAAATGAATCACTCGGAAGAGGGTTACAATGCATCACTCAATAATAAATATGAGAATCGAGTTAAACCGTAAGGGACTTAACTCACAATTAGCAAGATGAAAAACATGCATGAATATGATCTCAAGAAGGATGCTAAACACTTAAAAGAAGAAGAATGTGTGCAATTCAACCACATGACATTTAGGATCAATTTAGGTCTTTATTATAGGTTGTAATGGGTCTAAGGGTGTAAGGTGAGTAAGAAATGAAGGATATGGATACAACAAAGTCCAAGGAACTCACAATGTAAGAGCATATAATCGTTGACTAAAAGACTTTGAAACATCACACTTGAGATTTTCATTCAAATTTTTTTTGTATGTGATCAATTAGACCACAAAGCCTTATACCTCCACTAATTATGATTCACACTCCTTTCTTCCATTCGAACAACCAAGAAACATGGAATTGAATTTGAAACCATTGCCACTTAACCACAACTTTTCTCTTTTCTTTCACCCTTTGAGTGAAGTACTCTTCTTTAACAAATGGCAAGTGCATAGAGGGTTTCAAACATATCATGCTAAATCTGTGATAGCTTCTAAATCCCAAATATATAGGGTGTTGGCGCTAAATCTGAACAGATAGAGATGAGTGCAACTTACAAGTGATGAGGACGATCTAGCAGATCGATTGAGTGAT